AATCCCCGGAGGTATGACAGGTTCTGTCTACAGATTCTCCTCAGCTGACGATGTGCTGACCACGTCCTCGGCTGGCTGGATCATGGAGTCCGACAGGGCTTTACGGACCTACCCGCTAAGCAGGCAGGTGCGTACCCGTGATCAGCCAGGGAGGAGGCCCGCCGGCCGCGAAGACGGACGAAGTCGGCGCGGCGCGCCCCTCTACTCGCCCGAGTGCACACGCTTTTTTTGGTCGGCGGGTCGAGAGCGGGCCCCTTCCGGTTGAGAGCTAGGCGGGGCGCGCGAAGCCCTAATTGGGGAGACAGGGCGCGGGCGGGCGGGGCCTCAGGCGGCCGGAAGGTGCAGAGTACAGGCGGTGCCGAAGATCTTGCACAAGAAAAGGTACGCCATGGACAGGAGCCGGGGGCGAAGTTCGAGTGCACACGCACGCAGCTGCGGAGGGCAAAAGCACCGAGGAGCAATGCTAAAACGTCGGCGGCGGCGACAGGCGGAGAGGCAGGGGCAGAGTCCGAACACTTCCCCCCCGCGGCGGGACGCGCAGGCCTGACTGCAGCTCGCTTCGGGGCTGGCAGCCTCCGTGCCGTCCCAAGGCCCTTCGGGCCCCCAAGGTGCCACACGCAGAGCAACTTCTGTGGCGCACGGGGCGGGATAGCAGCTACTCGAGGCAAAGGCAGGAGAGCCCAGAATCGAAACGATGAGTCGGATCGGCGATCGAAATGAATGGGATCGGCAGAAATCGGCAGCCGAGTCGAGAAAAGTCGAACCGGCGGAAATCGGGAGGCTAGTACGCCTGCAATCAGAAATCGGAACCCAAATCGGAATGCTAAATCGAATCGAATCGGAATCGGAAGCCGTCGAAGTCGAATATAATCGACGGAATCGAAACGAGCTCTGTAAAGGTAGATTCCTAACAACTCATCGGCCTGGATCGACACGGAAACGATGTCGGATCGGATCGGCCGCGGCGAGGTGCACAACCACGCCCGTGCAAGCATCGGGCCGCGTCGGATCGCTGGAGCGTCGGGACCGACTCGGACCGGGCCCACTGGAATCGGCACCGAAACGGCACCGCATCGGGTCGAGATGTGCCCTGGGACATGCACACTTACAGTCAACCCGTATCACAAAGATGCACGATGAGGATGCAAGGGCCTCGGAAGGCAATGTCGACCCTCCTCGAGCGGGTCGCGGCGGGCGAACGTGCCCAAGAATGGGCCGAAGGGGAAGGATGCTCATCCTTGCCCTGACTGTACATCCATCGTACTGCCACAGGGAAGGCGGAGCTAGGGACGAGGGGGCTGCCCTGGCCACAGCGAGCTGCGGCCACGTGTTGTAGTAGATCCACCGCCCTGCATCTAGAGGCGCGGCACGGAAGCCAGAGCCCCTGTAGAGCCAACGTGGTCCTCAGCTGCAGCGCCCTGACGGTCTGGCAGGACAGCCCATAATCGCGTCGACAAATTGGATCGGCGATCGAAAGGAACCGGATCGGCGGAAATCGGCAGCCAAGTCGGAAGAAGTCGAGTCGGCGGAGATCGGCAGGCTAGCAAGGCCTCCGCCGCTGGATCAGAACCCACACATTGGAATCCGAGCTCGAATCGAATCGAAGACCCTCGAAATCGAAGCAAATCGAGTCGCAAGAATCGAAAGGAGCGCTGCATGGCATCTCGCCGCCCTCTGGAGAAAAAGAGAGGCGGCACACGAGCCGAGCGGTCTCTGGGAAAATCTCCGAGGGCCAGCGCCCTCGTCGTCCTTCAGGGTCGGCGGCACCGGCCGTACAGTGGAGGCCCGACCACAAGAAACCTTCCACAAGAAACCCAACCCTGAGCCAGGACTTCCATTCAGTTCTGGCGTGGGAACGTCACGCTTCCCATCGCAACACCGTCGAAACTCAAGAGACCCAGGGCACCCTGGAGGCAAGCAGGGCGCTTCTTGGCACGGGTCTCCACTGTAATACTGTAAGGCCTTCGCACTCTCGGGGGGGGGCGGCGTCCTCGCCGAGGCGTCCGACTGGTCCTTGGCCAAGTCGAGGACGTTGCGGCCCTGCAGGAGGCAGCGGGCACCCGTCCGGGCGCACGGGTCACCGACGGGTGGCGACATCCGAACCCTGCCCCGACCGACCATCGATTCTTCTGCATCGATGGGGGGCGGGGGTAGGGCTCGGATTTTGCCACGCGTTCGACGAGTTCCGAACCCTACCCCCGCCCACCCACCGAGTGTCCTGAATCGCTGATCGGCGAGGGTGAGGTTCGGATTTCGCCGCCGAGCAGGGACGAGGGGCAAGGAGGGGCGAGCATCCACGACCATCGTGCTACCGCACGGGGGGGCGCCGAATGAAGAGTGGAGGGTAACTTTTCCGCGAAGACCTCCGAAGGATATGCTTCTTTCGCTTCTAAGCAGGCGCGTTCCACCGCTCGCAAAGGAACTGCTCGCAAACAGCCTGGATCCGCCGCGGGAGATCTACGATCCAGTATTACATCGAAGCAGACATGATCATTTTTTCCAGAAGTTTGTGAGGAGGCACTTTGAGAGTAGGGGGAACGCGCTCGGTGAGCTTGCCCGAGTTCGACAGATGCCGCCAAGCACAAACTGTGGTCGGCGATGACCCGTCGCCCGCATTCCGAGCCCTCTTCGCGCGGGTCCGCACAACTCACGGGACTCGAGTGCAAGTACGGCCCAGACCACGCGCGGAACTCCCTGCACATACAGTCGAAACGCTGTCTTAAAGAACCCTAACACACAGTCGTGGCCAGACCATTAAAAAAAACTTCCACACAAGACCCAATTCTGAGACCCCAGGACGTCCATCGACTTTTGGTGTGGGAACGTCGCGCACCCCATCGCAAACCGTCGAAACCCAGGGCACACTGGAGGCAAGCAGGGTGTTTCTTGGCATGGGTCTCCACTGTAAGGAATGAGACCCTGTTTTCTTCCATCAGTTAAACTTCGATGTCCCATCGAACACCTAAGGACAACCTACGACGAAATGTACATCAAGTAAGGAACACTGAGCCCCTCGCCAACGAAAAGGGTTCCTCCTTGAACGGCCCGACTGTACGACCTAAACCACGCGCGGAACTCCCTGCACATAACCCAGCACGGCCGTCGCCAGACACAGATGCCACGCGCGTGTGGACAACGTGCACCCTGAGACCCCAAGACGTCCATCGATTTTTGGTGTGGGAACTTCACGCGGTCCGTGGCAAAACCATCGAAACCCAAGAAACCCATGGCACACTGGAGGCAAGCAGGGTGTTTCTTGGCATGAGTCTCCACTGCAAGGAACGAGACCCTTTTCTCCATCAATTAAGCTTCGATGTCAGATCGAAAACTTCAGGGCACTCTACGACGATATGTACACCAATTAAGGAACACTGAGCCCCTCGCCAACGAAAAGGGTTCCTCCTTCAACGGCCCGACTGTACGACCTAAACCACGCGCGGAACTCCCTGCACATAACCCAGCACGGCCGTCGCCAGACACAGATGCCACGCGCGTATGGACAAAGTGCAACGCTCCCCGCTTTCGGCTTGCATCTAGCCTTAGTTCGGGCATACATAGCCAAACAATACATACTTGAAGCATCATCCCATGTTTTTGTTTTTGATTATTGTTGAGTATTCCACCTGTAGAGGGACGCGCCCGACTAAATCTCGTAGAGCGCCCGTTCTGTTACTCGTAGGGATCTCTTGGGATCCTGGGCATATCAGCTCATGAGGCGTTGTTGTTCAACTTCCAGTTTCCACTGTTGCAGTTCTGCTTCTTGCTGCTTACTGTTCCTTGTTACAATTCTGCTTCTTGCTGCTAACTGTTCCTTGTTGATGGACCGCGCGAGGGGGGGAGGCCCAACACGGGCATTTTTGTCACGGCCAAAACGTATGCTCTGAATTGCTGGGGTGGGTAAAAAAACATCCCTCACGCAGATCGGCGGGGTCAGGGTCCAAAAACACCGGGGACTTGCCACAGTTCTGAAATTCGGTGGCACCCCTCACTCAGATCGGCAGGGTCAGGGTCCAAAAACACAAGGGATTTGCCACATTTCTGAAATCCGGTGGCACCCCTCACGCAGATCGGCAGGGTCAGGGTTCAAAAACACAAGGGATTTGCCACATTGCTGAAATTCGGTGGCACCCCTCACGCAGATCGGCAGGGTCAAAGTCCAAAATCATCTGAGATTTCTCACATTTCTGAAATCCGGTGGCAGCCGTGACGCAGATCCGTAGGGTCAGGGTCCAGAAACACAAAGGATTTGCCACATTTCTGAAATCCGGTGGCACCCGTGACGCAGATCCGTAGGGTCAGTGTCGAAAAACAAACAGGTCCCGACACTGCTTCACGGCGGCGCCCAGACCTCATGATTTAGCTTTTGCATCTCCCATTATCCGAGACAGGGGGCCGGTGGCATGGGGCGAAGCCCTTACGGATACTCCCCAAATGATCAAGCAATAATCAAACAATAGTCCTCTGGCTATTTCTTAACTATTTTTGAATATTCCTCCTGTAGAGGGCATGTCCGACTCAAGGCTGGTTGGATATGTTGACATGAATGTCATCATCATGGCTGGGACAACCGTGCGGTTGTCCCCCTTCGCTTCCGAGAGCTCTCGCCCCCGACCCGGGCGCGGTGGCGCCATTGGCCCAGCGCCTCTGAATACACACCGATGGGTTTCACATCCAGAGCGACGAGCATGCTTCACCATGCGCGACGCATAGGACCACGATAAAAAAACGGCGGGCGACGCACAATTACACCTAGGTCGGGCATGTTCTCCGACGGGTAGATTTCGGATGATTTGTTGTTCTGAAGATAAAACTCAAACATGATCCAAAACTAATCAAAACATCTTTCCAAACTATGTTTTGACTATGTTAGAAGATTCCTCATGTAAAGGGACACGTCTGACTTACAAGTACACAGTAAGCATCATATTTAGACATCCAGGTGTGACAACAATGGCCTGACGTACATTCTCCGGACGGGCAGACATTGTCACACAGCTTGTCGCACACCTGTCAGATCCATACCGCACGGCTCTCGATCAAAGACGCATCCAACCGCATTTCAATCAACGTCGCGGCTTCAACACTCACATCGTGTTCTCATGACCGGGATGTCCCCAAATCCATGCCCCACGGGGCTGTTTCCCAGGGCCATCACAAACAACTGCCGGGTATGACTGCTCCATCAATCACACGACCTACGCGCCAATTAAGCCCACTGTGCTGGGGGGTGCATCGAGAGCAGAACCGTAACTACTGCGTACGTAACATGCGCTGGGGTCCCCACGGGCGATGCCATGGATACGTTCGGACTTAGGAGAGGAGAACCTCCTTCAAGAACATGAGGCCATTTGTTGGCCAGACTGAAGAACATCCGAGGGTGCCCTCCCCCAGGATGCACAATAACATCCAACAACCGCGAGGAAAATTCGTTGACGGCGAGCGAGGGGGGGAACTGAGAAGGAGAAGGCCTTCTCAGAAGGCGGCGGGACTTCTCAGAAGCCCTCGCGCCTTCTGAGAAGTTGTTGCTTGTCTTCGGTAAAGGCTGAGACAACTTCTCAAAGACAGGGGGACTTCCGGGCCTTCTGAAAAGGACTTCTCCTTCTTACTTCCCCCCCTCGCTCGCCGCCGAACTATGGGTTTGGCACCGCGGTTTGTTTTATTCCACGCCAGCAAGAATCCAAGAGGCCCCCAAGAAGCCCCAAGAGGCCCCGAAGCGGTCCCACAGATGCCTCCGCGAGGCCTCCCACGAGATCCCAAGGAGCATCCAAAAGCCTTCGTACCCACAACCCAGGCACGGTGGCGGGACGGGCCGAAGGCCACTTGAGAAGCATCGGCCCGTGTCCACAACTGCTTGGGTCTTGCACGGGCCCGCAGGGGATGGCAGATATGTACCTCAGTTGTCAAGCGCGCCAGGGCGGGTTACGGCGGGCTCGTGTGGTGGCGAGCCCAGCGTTGGTTTCTGACACCGCGTGGGTCGTCGCTCAACCTCGAACGATCGGCGGCTTTTCGATCGCCCGATCTTTCCATGCAGGCCGACCCTGGGCCACTGGCGGCATTCAACCTGGAACGCCCGCGGCGGGGTCACCGCCGGTCGACACGACGCGAACCTACCGTAAAGATCGACATCCGCCACTCCGCGATGGCTCAGGGCACGGCTGTAAGAACCGGTGGATGCTGCCGGGAACCTCTGCGGAGCGCGCTGCGGCGGCGGCCCTTTGCGACACGCTAGTCGACACGGGAGGCCGGGACAACTCGGAACTCGAGAAACTCCCTGCGACATGTTATGCCTTGCATTGGGTCGAGCATGTCCTCCTACAGGCGGATTTTGGGCGAAAAATGAAAATAACCACAAAATGCTCAAAAATAATTAAACATCGTCCTCAGACTATCTCGATTTTTGAACAGTCCCCCTGCAGAGGGACACGCCCGACGTAATGCTATGCCTTGCAGGCTGAAAGCTTCGAGGGACAGGAGCCTGGGGAAATTCGGAACGTTGCTGCTGGGGGACTGGGCCGTGCCTAGTGTGTCGAGCCGAAGCGTGGTGAGCCAGAGCCAGCAACGAGAGCCGCCAAATGACCGGTCCTTACCGTACAGAGACTCCTGCAGTGAGGTTGCCTGTAGGTCCAATGCAAATCCCGATTTGAACCACCGCGGGGGGCGCTTTTTGATAGTCGTCGTCGTCGTCGTCGTCGTCGTCGTCGTGGTCGTCGATCGTCGGTCGTCGGTCGTCGACGTCGTCGTCGTCGTCGTCGGTCGGTGATATCCTGCCTCAGCCAACTTGGTGTTGGGGTGGTTTCAAAATCAGGCCCAAGTGGCCAAACGATCCCCCTGAACCACTTGGGGCATGTGTGCCCCATGTGTAAGGTTGCCATCCCCGATTCACCTCCGAAGACCGACTCGAAGCCTTCACAACCCGATCTATGACCTCCAAGAACTCTGGGCGCCGACCCCGCCTCCTTAGCACACGATAAAAACAAGAATCTGGGACAAACGATTTAAAACATAGTTTCGCTGGCCGTCGTGCCGCCGAAATAGCGGGGGGGGCGGGGCAGGCAAACGGAAGGCGGATAATCCCGGGTTGTCTGGAGGCCGGGGGGGGGGTGCACGGGCTGACAATTCAAGGCGGGGGGCGGGGGCGGGCAATTCCGAGCCGGGCAGGCCAAGGCAACCTGACCGACGGAGGGCGGACACTCTGACTGTCTGGGAACCCCGCGGGCTGACAGTTCGAAGCCGCAGCTGTTCCTGCTGCTGCTGCTGCTGCTCCTGCGCTGCTGCTGCTGCCGTTGCTGCTGCTCCTCCTCCTCCTCCTCCTCCTCCTCGTCCTCCTCCTTCTCCTCCTCGCAGCTTCGAGAATATAGCGCTAACGCGGTGCGTCTCTGGACGGCGATCGGACCCCCCCCCTAAAGCCTTAGAAGCTCCGAGGGCCTTTTACACCTCTCCTCCTCCACCTCCTCCTTCTCCTTTTCCCTTTCTTTCTCCGTCGTGCAGCTGCGAAAATAC